TCGTTTGTGAGGGTCAGTAGAAGACTGCTGCCCCTTCTGGAACACGTGAGTGGACTCTTATCACGCTTTGGTCCACGCACGTTTATGCTTACGACTAAACGGACATAAAAAATTGTTGGCAGCCATTGCCTTCCTCGACAAGCATTGTTAGCTGACATAAAATCAGGCTGGAAAAGAGCTAGCGGTGGTCATGGCATGGCATCAGTCAATCAAATCCACGACAGTGAGTTTAAGCCACGTAGGAAGGTGCAGACATCCTGGTTGGGGTCCTTGTGACGGCGAACACCAATGGCTGGAGACAATTGGTGATGTGGTTCAAAATCGTTCTCAATGGCGCAGATGCATCCACTCCTTGTGACTTATAATTTCCAATGAAACTATATTGTTCTTCCTTATTATTATCCCTTCTGTCTCATATCCCTGTCTACTGTTTCTATTATGCACTTCTTTTACTTCCTTCTCTTGCTTTTTGTGCTACATGGAGTGTGGCAACTTGAACTGCTGCACATCCGTGCAAAGTTCTATGTCTAAAACAGATAGACAGACACTTGTGCTTTGCCGGTTCCTGAGTTCCAGGTGAAATTCATGGTTTGCCAGACACCTGGTGGGCCGCCATGTGATACAGGCTTTTCCATTTGCTTGCAGGATACGCGGTGTGCCCACCTTCAACCATGAGAATTGCTTCCTAGGTTGTGATGTGACTAGTGGTATGGTATTTGAAATCGCTGTGTGAATGGTCCCTGTTACCATTTTTATGTGTTCCTCTTTTGGTAGCTCGTTCCAATCAGTGAACCATCCTGCATTGGACAGAAGCCTTTGCATTCTGGTTTAGCTGGTTTGGAACAGACAGGGTCGCGTACCATCTTACTACAAGCACTCGCAGAGATTCTCTTCAAACACTATATACACACCTTCACTGTGGGGTCTTGATCTGGACCTTTCCCAGTAACTGGTCACTAGTTAGGATAAAAGAAAATTAATAATAATAATATATTCTCATTTTTGTACATGAGGGACACCAGTTTGCAGGCATCATCAATATAATAAATTAAAGATAAGATTAGTTAGCATATTTTAATAATAATTTAATAAAATACATATTTTTTCCTACCTGTGTAGGGCACTCCAATTGTACAGGCACGGATAAGTATTATTTAAATTACATAAATTTGGCTTATGGTTAAATTACATGGTTGCTGTCATTTTTGTTTTTGGTTTGTGGGAACAATGTGATAACTAGTCATTCAATGGAGCACATCAAGAAATATAGAAATATTTTCTTCGCATTAACAAAAAACCCAAGTATGTTTTGTATGGATTACAAATACTTGGGAAAAAAATAAAGCTTGAAGCCATTCCCCCACATAATTCTGGTGTGTACGGTATCGTGGCCTTTCACTAGGGCCCCATTTCGTGTCGGCCCCAAGGTTCACAGTCAATCCCACACTTCTGATTATAATAATATATTTATTCCTATCTATGTGTAGCAGATTTAGACCGAACTTATCTTGGGCAAACCCCGACCCTAGATTGACAGAGGGAGCATTGAGGTCTCTAGCCATAGTGATTCGGTTATAGCCCAGGTTCGGTATCCCTGTTACGATACTGAGAGGTATCTGCTTGCCTTCTGCTCCTCAGGAGGTTGGTCAATAGATGTGGTCCAGTAAATTCCTAGTGTGGCCGATGATAAAATGGCACCATATCAAGTCTCGGAGTCCAATGAGTAGTGAGTCTGTCGCTCGCACGCATACAAGCTGCTTGCCGCTGAATATGGCAACTTCACCAACTTGCTTGTGATTCTTATCTTGTCTGACCTGAACCACATCGCATTTACTGACCTCCTTTCCTGAAAATAGCAGTAGTTAGCAAGGTTTCTATCATTTTTTGACGTCCAGATGGAATCACAAGCCTTAAAATAATTACCAAAACTGTCGACTGATAGCAGCTGTACAGCAGGAAGACAGCACTGCACTTAAGAAGCACAATGGATGTCAAGTGAAGCAGGAAAACGTAAGCAACAGATGTAAAGGCATTCAATATTCAGTATGGTTGAGTAGGGGAGGGGAACCTCATAAATAATAAAGAAGGTATAGCCCCCACTTAGTTACGTGTCTCATCCTTCTGAATTCCTAAACCAACAAAAGACCACTAAATGACCATAGAGGTTATACTACTTCCTGCATGTTTTTGAGGATCTCATAGCCCTACAGAACTACTCAGTCAAAATCATGTGAATGACGTATCGCAGTTATCACTTTTTATTTTGTCCCATAAGTACAAAATTCAGATGCAACGTCAGCTTAAATTCATCTACAGCCACGCCACACTAGAATGACTGCAACAGTCGTATCAGCATCGCGCTGGTGGCTGATTCTACCTGAAAATTGCTGCTAAAGTAAAGCTGGATCATTGTATTCTGTGTCCTTTCTTTATGATTTTTTCCCTTGATTACCCATTCCGTGACTTGTGAACGCAAACCAAAGCAATAGCATTGTGAAAGAGGTTTCAACATACTGACTGAAGCTTCTTTTACTTCAGGGACCTTCGATGTTGCTGCATAAACTTCTAATGGTTCTACCAAATCTACAGGCAACTTGTAAGAGATCTGAGCTATTATGTACAGATTTTTCTACTGAACACTCTTTGACAAGAACTAATATGAATTAGTGAGAGCCAATTTTTACCACTTTTAGTCGTATGCACTTATGACACTACTTTACTGTTAAAGTGGCATGTAACTCTTGGTCTCCTCTCTCAGCAGTTGAGGTGGCCACCTACTTTTCCCTCTGTTTTGTATATTGCTCGATTGGTATTACTCAGTACCTCCGGTCAACATCTGACATGCCCCAAGTTTTGCCAGTCGTGGAAATGTTTGTTTTTCGAGAAAACCTACCCCTCAAACACTTGATAAGTAGACTATGAGTAGCTCCGTCTGCTTGGACACTGAATGCCTCTGTTCGGTATCTTGAAGCTACTTTCCCCCTGTCGGCATTTGCCGGTCCCGGAAGTCTACGTGTGAGAGTACTTATGGGTTGGAACTCATCTAATGTGTATCATTTCTCAAAATAGCCATCAGGCTCCATTTAAGCATTATGTTTAAAAACTATCACTTGAGAGAGCAGTAAGACTTGTTAAACCTAGTTTGTTGATTTCTAAACGATTATCGAGGTTCATAAACTTAGACATTTTGATCAGTTAAGCTGTTTGGAGGGATGATAGAGATTTGATATCACGTTGAATCACTTATAGTTATGATAAATCTCCTAAAATGAACAAATAATCAACTTTGCTGCCCACTTTTAGGTAAAAATTTTTTATTTTACATTATTTTGGCGTTATTTAGCTCTAAATTGCTCTCCTCTTGTGTACTTTGTGGTTCACTTAGTGTAACTTCATGGTACTTGTCCTTGGTCCGATTAAAAATCTCGGATTTAGACTGCTTTTCGATCCGAAACCCAGGGTTTTGACTGCTTGCTCTATTAAAAGCGAAACCCTAACCAAGTAGCCAGAGTGACTGTCAGGCCCTCGTAATCGCGACCAGACTGAGTGGAAAATAAACAGAAGCTAGTCAATCCTAGATACAGTAAAATGCAGTTGGGATTAGCGACGGTAATAGTCGCAGTGTTGGAAAGAGCGGGTGTGATTTCACCACGAGTGGTGATCTGCACTGTGGACTTTGCTGTCAACTGTAGACGTTAGAAATGACTTCCTGAGTATTTAGATTCACCGACTATACTTACCAGTTGACTGCTGGATGCCGGTTCTACTTGATAGTCTCTTAGTTTCAAATCTCTGAAGCTGTTAGTTGCGATGAAATTCCTGAACTAAGCTCTAATTCGAAAAATTCGGCATAAAATATGTAATGGTTTCCAGTTTGGTTTCAGTTGAGGCAAACATATCAGCCTCCATGGTATTTTGGAGATTAGAGGCATAAGATTATCCGCATGCTGCGATATTCAAATTTAATATAACCTTGTGAATGCATCAAAATGCGCTTCGCGTAGACATAATGAACTGAACCAAATGAAGAACTAGAGGCATGATTCTGGATACTACCTAATGACCGATTAAAGTATAATTTACTTCCATGAGTTGACTCCAGTATGTTGGGACGATGGTATCTTTGTGATGTCTTTTAAGTATGTCTATTTCAGATCGACTATTAGAAGCAGAGTGACAGGTCGTTTTGACTCTCATAGAAGTTTGATCAGCTGCTGAAAAGGCGAACTTGCAACTATTTAGCTCTGCCTATCATGATAACACCTAAAATTCTCAAACTGGAAACCTAGTGTTCACTGACACTTCTCCCAGCTTCAGCACATATCTGTAGAATGGAAATCACTATTTGTCATCTTGAGGATCAGCTGACTTAAAATGAATTTCTGTCGAAGTCAGTAGCTTTAGTTAATAGCCAGATAATTCCTCCCAACATATTAAGTCATTTCAATACATGTTATGCGTTAATTGCAACGCCGCAGGGTAGACAGCAAGTCGATGCAATTATGCTATTTTTCATCTGAATCCTGGGTGATGAGGAGACACAATACCACTGATTGACGTAAAGCCCTAACTCAGTTACAGACGAAAAGTGAGGTACCTTTTCTGATAGCTAGAATGCGTTTGGCATTATGACTGCCCAACAATTATTCAACCCAGTATATGCATTTAACTTCGTGAATATTTCAGCTGTGTATAGTGAATGTGCTATTGATCATGAGATGTGAATGGGTAATCTATCACATAGCTGATAATTTTCCAGGCACTAAACACGTTTCGCTCAATATACGTATCTGATGAGTAAGAGTCGAAAAAACCTGAATTTTAATATTCATATTAATTCAAAGTTCTGAATTTAGAAGTAGAAGAGTATACCATGCTTACTGTTACTTTTCACAACTACTTATTTTCTGTGTGACACTTGTTTTAATGAGCTACATGCGCGATGTATCTAGACGCATAGCAGGCTGTCACATTATCAAAGTTCCAGAAATTACCTAGGCATGGCTACATTCACGTGTCGGGTTTATTTCTTGGATGACAGAGATCCATTCGCCTGTAATTATTTATCAGTACTGGAACCTGTAAAACCAATATCATTTACATTTTTAATGGAGCTTCCATTGAGTAGTCAGTTGCCAGCAATTCATAAAATACTTCGTCCACCACATCGCGTAAATTTTGATCTCATTAAAATATTTTTTATTAAAGCTTGAAGATAGTGCCCTCCAACTTTATAAATTCGGACAAGCGCAGTCAGAGTTTGGATCTTATCTTGACCTTGATTCGACATTGCAAGAGCAGTGGGAAGACTTGGAAATATCAGCTGACCAGTAAGTCACAGTTGTTCATACTAGCTTCTTAGTTTAACTGTTTTAGTAAATTCGTTGCATGCTATGTTTCAGTGCTTTTTAGTAACTGTTATCAGTATTTTTAGTGTCTTTTGATATGACTGAAGAACTATATTTAAGGGAACTAACTTTTAATAGGATTGGTATTGACCTCGCATACCTGTTAGTGTCTGATTTTGGTCATTAGCTGGTTCTGAACTTAGCAGCATTATAAGACTACAGTAGAAATATATTTAGCAAGCATAGCTTTGCAAGGTATTTGAGATTAGCATGTTTCCAAAACAATTGAAAGAATCCTGCACACATCTGAGGTACAAGTTTATGTCGAAGTGGATATAAATATTCACTTACACAGTGCTTTATCTTTTGCTCCACTGTCACTTAGCTGCAAAGCAAAAGGCATCCATATTGCTGATTTTATCATTGTTACACGGTAATGAAATCCAAAATGAAAGCAACCGCAGTTATGTAGCATTGGCTCCCTACTGTTGTGACTCACATACCACTTCTTAATCAGAATTAAATGAAATCTGTCTCCTGCTTACTGTAAGAATCATGTTTTCTGGATGAATGTAGATAACTATTAGTAGTGGATTCGCTCCATCAAAGACCAGTTATAATGCTGAAAGGCGCCTGCAGCATGTTATTGTGTTTCTTCTTATGAGTAATTATTGGTTTACTTAGCATTTCTTCTCTTCGAAATGCTTTCACACTTTATTGGTATGCCTGGTTGCCTATAAAATTAAAGATTTGCCTAAACTAGGACACCGTAATCCCAATCAGCATACACATTACCACGAGTCACACTTCACCAACTTGTTCTACAGATCAAACTGCTGCCCTTAGGTTTTCAGCCTTAAAAAGACAACGTTGTCTACTTATTTGCTGGACCTTAGGTTTGGTCACAAATGGTTGATGCCTTGCACTAGCCCACCCTAACCTGGCCACCAGGCTGCTCCCAACGGAGCTCCAGTTAATGAAAGAAAGATATAATTCTCATGTCTCTTCTAGGATGTATTTAAGTGGTGAAGTATACGCGCTGGTCCTTTGAAAATACAGTGTATCAAACAGAAAAGCCGGGTAGTATCACTAAGTTATTAAATGAATTTGTAGCAACCTCATTTGGTTTGGTGTTCAAGGTATGTCTCTTCATACTACCATTTTCTCTGGCTGATTATTTATGTTAAAGTTAGCACATATATGGTCGCTTGTCTATACTTCTCATTTCCACTTTTTTTCTGAACTTAAAGATTATAAGTATAATAGGCCAGAGTGAGCAACAGACTTTCCAATAAAACCTTCATTGATTCAGAACCCGTGGAAACTATTTCATCTCCACAATTGTATTCACATTAGCTGAGTTATTCAACGTGGTATTAAGCACGTTTACAGGCGTAGAAATTGCCAAATACAGTAGCGGAAAGTCTTGTCGTTGACGATTTGTTTCTGGGAAGCGATTTTTATGAAATGATGAGATAAATACCTGACTAACTACTAGTTTCTCTGATTACATGACATTTGGCTCAGTATTACAAAAAGCGGAATGCTTTCATCAAGAGTATCACATCTATTCTTTGTAACTGTATGTTTTGAGTTTTCAGAATACTCAGCCATTTTCTAAGAACATCAGAGATAGATTTAAAACGTGTTAATAGACTGAAATGGAGTGTATTACGTCCCTGTCACTGTTCGGCTGCACCTTGTGTTGAAGTCACAGCACACGGCACCAATTGTAGTCTCATTAGTTTATGCTGGTAAGATTCGCTTCATCGTAATGGCGACTATTCATGAAGTCTTCAGGGTTGAGTACTATCTGTTAGCAATGCCACCTGACTGTTCATTGCAGAAACCATTAACTAATCAGAATCATATCAGTTCGCACCAAAGGATGATATTATGTAATTGACGGTAGTTCATGCAAAAACAAATAATGCTGGTTATCTACTTCATTTATTTAAAGATTCGTGTCAGTCCTTAATGAAATGCTTACTGACAAAGGCTTAGCACGGATACAGAAAGCTGGTTTAGCAGTCTTCAGTTTATACCATTTGTGGTGGGCTCACTATACGCGGTTACCTGTCAAAGGATATGTGCTTCGCTTAACAGTTTTCATTGTCTTACTTGACAGTTGTGATAAATGGCTGCCAAAAATAAAAGACTATGCATCTCCCTTCTCTTGTTCATTTGAGGTAGAACTGCATACTGGGTACTCTTGACATTGGACATATTGGTAGATGAAGTAGATGAATGCATCTAGGTGGTTGCGCCTAGATCTTATTTGATAGACATTATTTTCTGGAAGAAATTAGTCAAAACGAATTAGAATTGGCTACGACAAGGCGTATCATAAATCCAGCAAGTCTACTTTTTATCTGAGCGGTGCTAGAAAGTGTGAGTTGTTTGTCTCCTGTTTTTAGGGTGTCACAAATCAAGTATTGGATACTCTGTGTCATTACTAAACATCGTTTACGATACCTTTGATAGATGTATGTTCTCCCACCTTTGAAGCCTTGGACGCTTTCACTGTTGTGTTTTTGAGAAGGGATATTACTCATCTGTTGACTACATTTTCATGTGCTGTTAAACTAGTAGAATATTACACAGTCTTTTCATTTATCCTTAGGTCAGTCAAGGTATTCCCTATAGCTTCTAAATTGACATCCTCAGCTTACAATTTACTTTATATCATGCATGAATTCAATTCATGGGAATAAATATATTTATTTTCGTACACATAATAAGCTACAGTAATACAGAAGCTCACACTTTTGCAAAAGAAACCACTGAAATATTAAAAACTCGCCACTGTAAAAGAGAAATCCATTAGTTCACATTGCAATACAGAGTGAATTGAACTAAATCTTTGACGTAGAACTTTTCACAAATACAGCAGTTCAGGCGACCACGCTCCATAGGATCCCTCAGAGGTGCGAAAAAAAGGAATAAAATGAAAATATAGTAAATGGAGGAAATTAATGCACAGAGGATAGAGCAGATGGGGGAAAATCACAAGGAGCCAACACATCAACTGCAGTGGGAATGATTTTGAGCCATATTGCTGATAGTTAGCAGTCATCGGCATTAAATATCTCAAGGACCCCAATCATATAGTTCACTGCTTCACATGTGGCTCAAATCAACAAAGTAAACAGGAAGTTAGCGGAATAGAGACCCTTTTAAAATTTTGTGAAAACCAGTCGCCGTTTTACACAGACCACAGAAGTTTTTTTTGTTAAAGCTACTGTTTACCATTTAGTGCATTCATAACTTTTAAAACATACTTTCTCTTCTTTTTGTTTTTAACAGAGAAAACAGTGTTGTGCTTCGTACTAAATTAGTTGTTCGTGTCAAAGCAATTATTGGTAAGTTACAATTTGTTATCCTTCTTTTCTATGAGTTAGTGTCAAATTTAGGTTATTATTATTATTATCGCAAGTTGTCAAAACTAAATGTGAACTAATTTAACTAGGTAAAGTGCCTTGCGTATGCATAAGACATTTCTCCAAAGTTGTTTTTAGTTTTCTTATATATGAAAAGCTTATTCTGATATTTATTACACTATACACCAGGATTAGTTTACACTGAATACACCTAGCAGTTAGGTGCTATTCCAAGATATAGCTTATCTCCTTAAGTATTAGACTTTTGGCCAACGGATTGTGGGCTGTAATCTCTTCCCTTGTCTCTGTCTCTCCACCTACTTCAGCCTGAGCAACTGTGCAGTGATATCACTAGCCTTCACACAATGAGTTTGGCTCACAGCCTGCAACTGAAGCAGACCAGGGAACTGAGTTCTAACTATCTAACATATACTGTTTCATAGTGTCAGATATCCAAAGAATGAACTAGTATAGAAAGTAAACTAATCCTCACCAGCGTATATGTATACAAATTGCAAACAAGTAAGAATATAATCTTTTCAAACGGCTCTATATACAAAACGTGACTGTATGATACTATAGACGGTACGCACTAATGATGTCTTTGATAAGACATATAAACTTGCAAGGTGAAAGTCACCAACCACTGATACTGTCATTCTCACCACTATAATTACAACCTTAGTCAGAATATTAGTCGTCTGAACTCATGATTGTCCTAAAGTTCTAGTGAGAAGTTGTGCCCATCGATGTCCACCACATCTAAATGTAAAATTTAGACCCATGGACGATGGAGTTGACTGGTGGTGTTGTTACATTGTTAAGTGACGTAAGTTATAATTTACGGGTCGTTTTATCCAGTAGCCAGTGGCTGAATTGTTCAACAAAAGTCGTGGGTGTAAAATGCTGCAGAGTCCTAACCTAAGACAAAACAGCTGTCCCTGGTTTCCATTGGTTCTCTAACAGATGTAGACTGGTGACAAAATCTACGCTTATACTCTTATAGTACTGGCAGGTAATAATTAACAGGAAATCACAGGTAGAAGTGATGAAATTTTCTTAAAGTAGACGAGATTTTCATGTGTTTGGAGGATTAACTGTATGTAGGATAACTTGATGCATATTTTTGAAAAAATAACAAAATTGAAAATTCAGATAGAGTCAGCATTTAACTAGGGATAGGAATGTGCTATAACAGATTATCTACCTCCAAAAATGATTTTACGAGAGCATATTTAAGTCTTTTTCATCATACAGTTTGGTACTATTTAAGCTGTAATGATTTGTAGTTCAAGGTTCATCTGATTTCGAATCCCTAGATCATGTGATGAAGTTTGCTTTTATATATAAAATAATGAGCAACCTATTGTTATGAACAATCTTCAAACAGTATCTCTGTATGACACTTATTATATGCTTCCCAAGGTGATAGCATGAAAATTGGTACAACTCGATCTCATGGAGTTTTGTGCAAAGTTCTATATTCATGAGTCAATAAGTATATGAAATAGGAAAGTAGTAAATTGATATTCCACTTCAATTGTCGACCAGAAAAACCTTTTTGCTTCTGAAAAGTACTCAGTATCAGATAATGATGGAATCGCCTGATAATTTAGTGTTTTTAGACTCCCAACAGAAAGCCTTCTCTAGATTTGGGACTTTTTCCCATGAAAATGTGACGTCTTAATAAAGTCAACAAACGTAGTCAAATGAACAGGGTTCAGGTGTAGTATTACCCAAATCTTCAACAAAATGCACTCGAAGACCAAAGTTTGTGTACTGTTTGCTGGTTTTAGATGTCACTGTCAAACACAGATGATTTGATACACTTCAGTGGTAAAACGAACACAGTATAGGTCTTTTCATACGTACACATAAGGATATTTGCTAATAAAAGTGACAAGGGGTCATAAACCAAATAATCATTACATTAGGACAAATCTGAATTTTTTTCAAATAACACAAATCATGCCAAAAATCGATAGGGAAAATAAAATAAAATAAATCGATATGATCAGGATAAGGAGATGTGATTACAGTCCAGAGGTGTAGTGAATATGACATTACATATTTGACAACTGTATCATAAGGGAATAAAATAATGGTGGAAGTATAACAAACCAGAGTAAAGTGAACATTTTCGAAAAGCAGGTGACTCAGCTGATAGCAGTGCATCAGTAATCTAGTGGTCACAGGGACCACAAGTTTCAGTCGCAGATTCTTATTTCATTATACATTACGTATGTAATAGGATGTTTTATATTTCGATTAAAAAAAGAATCAAAAATCACAAAGGTAATACAATGATGAAATACAAAAAGACTTTCGCATCCATTTGCCGTATAAAATGATATCATTTGGATGTCACAGATTTTCATCAACTTCAGACTAACCTGAAAGTATAATGGTTACAAAAGAGTGAATGAAGACAACAAACATTCAGTGTTGAAACGGCAGTTGGGAGGAAAGCGTTGTATGTTAGGAGATCTGAAATCCAAAGCAGCGAAAATATAAGCATCACAATGTCTAACTGAAGTCATCATCAACTGATATTCATCATGTAAACTAGTGAGAAGAGAGAAGACAGAATACTAAACAGAAAAAAAAATATTAATAGCTTGCACAGTTACACTTCATAAGATTAAAATCAGCTACTTGCTTGCTTTTATATACAGTGGATCTAAGGCGAGATTTAAAACGGAGAAATTACAGCGATTAATTTGTAAATAGTTAAACTGTCGTCAATAGATTCCAAATTTTTGTGTGATTCTGTTCTCTGAGCCGAATGGATCACCTTAAACGATCATAAGAGTGATTAGATCACACAAAAAAGCTGCACAAGAAACAAACTGATCATCACTTACTTTTTTGTTTATACACAAAAAAAGAAGACACCTCAAATCATGTTCAACACAGGGTAGATTGTGATTAATCAGAAAACACTATTCAAAAGCTATTTACACATACTCAGGAAATTAATTCTTTGGTTGAAAATAATCTCCAGACACTATTTCAAAAAAAATTACTTATTCCATTTACCTCTCCTTTCATCTCTACATGTCGATTTTTTTTTATTTCAGAAAAATTATTAGATTCTAATGGTCGAGAGTTGAAGCGTTCACTTTTCTCATTGAAACAAATATTCCAGGTAAGTTAAGTATTTAATACTGAATAGAAGCAAATTTGAAAATTATCTCTGATCACGTGTTATATATTGTGTTTCATCGATCCGAAACTTTATTTAATTAATTAATAATTATCAATTAATTAGTGTGTGTGTGTGTGTCTGTCTATGTATCCATCCTCCTATAAGCCTACATATGAATTTGTGTATATCGACCTGCACAACTTCACTCATTTGCTAGTAGATAGCTTAGGCTTAGTCACAGACTCCATATTCAATAATAAATAATACATCTATCAATGAAATATGTGAATAAATGAAAATTCTTTGTTTTATCTTCTGTTATTCATGTTATGAATAGTTTTGGGTCAATAAAATAAAATTTATCATTTAAATATGTTTAAATTTCTTAAACAGAAAAAAGTTATATTTGTAAATACTTTGAGACCATTGATAAGATAACTGACACATACCACCCGTTACCTTTGGGAATCTGTAAAGTGTAACGCTGAGCAGCTGTAACTGCCAGTGACTTATTGACGTATTCGATTATGAACTGTTACCACTCAACAGTTGTTAACGTGACCGGCCGTTAGTCCAGTGTGTTTTCCTACTGATTTGAAGCTGGGTTTCATTATGAAGCATTCGAAACAAAAGAACAATTCAAAACTGTTTCGTCTGGACTAACTCATAACCCCCCTGGAGAAATCTAACCTAAGATCACTGAGTCACTAAGTGATCACACTGCCATTCACCTTGTGGGATAGAATGCGATCGTCCTTGGTTTTCAACTTCTACGGCCCTTGCGCTACTGTCACCCAAACAATCCTTCTCCGGGACGGTGTTGAACCTCAGGCTTAAATTAAAGCTTTTCAACGCAAATAAGTTTGATGCGGTGCTAGAACTGATCAGCTGAAAACTGCACAGTCTTCTGTTTGTGGTTTTCAATCATTAAAAGATGACTACTGCTCAACTGAACAGTTCAGTGAACAAAAATAGTTAATGTAATCCATTTAGCATCCTTATAGTAGGCTTTTTACCAAAAGGGGCATTTTCGAGTTCGATACCTGATATCTTATTACGTAGGTTGTATTTCAGTTGTCTTCAGTTGAAGACAGCTTAAAATGTACACATTATATTATCATTATTATTGTTCCCTTGGGTTCCTAGTGGAACATAGGGCTTCACCTACATGTCTCCACTTGCTTCTGTCTTCTGCTGTACTTTTTACCTGCATCCATGTTAGTCCATACTGTTTCAACTCCCCATCACACGATCTCCTCCATGTCACCCTTGGACGTCCCACTCGCCGCTTCCCTTTCGGGTTCCACTCGGGCACTGGCCTGACGCGCGATGTCACCCAGCGGCCTCCTCAGCCAGTGAGTGTCCAATCCATCTCCACTAACTCCTCCATATTTGTTCGGCGATTGGTTCCTGTTTTGTTTGTTCCCATAGCTTCTTGTTTGTGATTCTTTCCGGCCATCTAATCTTCAGTATAGAACGAAGACAGTTGTTGATAAAGGTCTGCAACAGGCTGTTGGAAATATTCTTTGTGAAAATGTACACATATAATTGATGAAATAAGATAACGCACATTTTTCATTCTACTGAGCAGAAGTTTGGCATGAGGATCGTAGTATAAGGAGAAAACAGTGAGCGAAATGTGACTGTGTGGTCAGTTACAAATAATCCGTAAAGAAAGTAGTAGTTACCTATCATAAGTTCTGTTGAAGAGTATTCAAAAAGTTTTGGTAGTTGACGTAAACATCAAAATCACTAATGGACAAACAAAGTGCATGGAAAAAGATTGCATATTACTAGACAAGTAAACATTTATAAGTGATTTGAAATCGGAAAGCAAAGGAATAAATGAAATTTAAGAAAAAAGATGAATACCAGTCATGAGTTTTGTGTGCTTGCATATCACAGTTATCAGAAGAAATGAGGTGGAATTCAGCTTTGTGTTTATATGCCTTAGCTGTCCTCCACTGTAGATAGAATAGAACAGATGCCCAAATACATCTACCCGAATGTAGCTTCATGCTAGAAGTAGCAATTAGACTAGCATACTCCCTTGGGCTGTTATTGAAACCGGATGAAAGAAAACTCATTTTGGTAAGAGAAATATAAGGCGGGAGAAATTCTAGTTCTCAGGAAGGAATAAACCAAGAGTGTTCAGCATCCTCCTTTCAATATTTTATGACCATTTAAAGACTACATTTAGGATTTATGTATGATCTTTTACCTAATTGATCAGACTCGGACTGTTTCAGCATTGTGTTATGACTAAATTTGGTTGAATATTACGTCAATACAGACTTTCTCCTAGAAGATCTATTCAAATAACAGGTTTTATTATTCGGTTAAATTATAAACAGTTAGAAATCATAGGTGCTTCACTCGAAGTGTACAGGTTTTGGACTTGATAAGTGACAGCATTAGACAATTCTAAAGTAGAATAAGAGGACTCTCTTTCTCTATCCTCAGTGATCCTCTAGCCGTACAGTCAAATTCTCAATTTGCACATCATACAGGTGGAGAGAAACCAGATATATTCAGATAAGAATATGTGATCGGCTTGGCATTGTAAACGGGGATCAAGGAAGCCGGTGAAATAACATGACATGAGTAGTTGGTAATCGCTCATGTGAACTAGTAATACTTGCTAACCAGATCGAAGTGATCTGAATACCAGAGAGCCATTTCAGCGGTGTACTTGGTTCAACTGAGCTCAGAGAACTGAATCAATTAGGTAACTAGATATTTTGGCGAACTTGTTCGTGTCAAAATCTATCCTGACCCTTAGGGTCTAGATGAAGATCACGTTGCTAAGCAATATAATAGACGCCTGTGATTTCTTCTTGTCAACTTTTATGTGAAAAATGTTTATGACCAGCCTCATTCTCAGTAATCAGCCATTTCCAATCATTAAGATTGTTGATTTTCCGTGTGGATAATATTATTTACCTGCATAGGACAGATTTATATTGGGTAATAGACGGTGGTTTTTCGTTTCACATTGAAAGATCTGTCCGTCTTCTGGTTCTACTCAGTATATGGTCGCCAGTATCAATTATTGGCAAGTCACAAAGTAGGACAGAAGGAAGGATTTTCTATTGTATATGCATGGGAATTTTAACGAAGTTGACCGTCACAATCAGTTATTTATGCTATCGCTTTCTATTTTCTTCTTATTGTCAATATTTCAGGATGATAAAGATCTTGTACATGAATTTGTGACTCATTCCGGCCTGGATTGTTTAGTCAATGTTGGCTCTAGGTCAGATCAGAATATCCAGAATTACATCCTGCGTGGTAAGTTGCTGAGAATGATTCATTCGGTTTTATTACAAATCTGATTAAAGCACTCATTTCATGTTGGGTTTAATCACCCACGCACACACACAGACATCGGTTAAAAAACCCACTGAAAGCCAGGAAGCAGTTGACAGCTGTTCCATCTACTGATGAGGAGGCCCAAACAAGGACGAAACAACCTTCTGGTTATCAGTGATTCTCCAACAGTTCCGACTTTTGATGAATTCTCCTTTGGAATCAAAAAAATCACCTGAAAACAAACTCCTGAAAAGCGTATATATATCAGTAGTGGGCCCTCCTGAGCTCCGGTTTCATCCTTATTGGTCCTCGTCAGCAAGGAGTATTTACGCTCCTGAAGAGAGTGATGTCCCCTCCCGGAAGATTTCGACTCGCATCTTCTAGTGTCGTAGTCGAAAAAATTACCATTGAGGTATGTGGGTAGCCATTAATTATGGGGTGGTATAATGGATATATTGATCGGCCACTAGGGAGTAACAAATCGCCTGTTTCTAGACTTTATTGACTTGGGTTATAGTCTCTGAGGGTGATCACTTTCTTTGAAGTTGCAAGTACGCCTTGTCACTGAATGCTAATAAACATAAGACTTTTGTCGACAGCTTCCGCCAGAGAGTGTGATTTTGAGTCACCAACACGGATACACTGTTTTTACATTGACAGCTTCACTTTCTATGAACTTTATTCTCACCTTCTATCTTTTCTTTTACATAATTTTCTTTGCAAAGCTTTGGGACAGATTATGCTTTATGTTGATGGGATGGCTGGAGTTATTGAACATCCAAATATTTTACGGTGGTTATACTCTCTGTTAACATCAAAAGTAAGTATATGTATGTGTATTTATGTGTGGATAGTTGTACTTTATGCTTTCACTTGAACGCTTGATTTTTAAAATTTACTAATACGTGTTTCTTGTTATTTTGACACTGAGCTTAGCACAGAATAGGTGGAATATGGCAAAATTAGATAGCCAATGGTAAAAGCATCGCTTAAGGAGCTGTCACCAGTTGACGAACTATAGCTTTGTAAGTATTTTGTCTCAACTGTATATATGCAAATATTTCATTTTGCGAAGCTGTATAGCATTAGGGACAACACAATACAATTGCCCGACTTCGACTGATGTCAATCCATGAATTGACTATTACTTTCTAAAATGCTCCTATCATCATGAGGCTAAATGTTAACAAGCAGAGATCGGAAAAAAGGCTGCTAGCATTGTACAGATGTTTAGGACAGGCATTTGAACAGGGGCTTAAACACAGTCCGTTGTACTTTCGATTTACTGACACCTTATGGCTAATATGCGCATGGCCAGTAACACAGCTGAGCACTTACTACTCCCAAGCTTTTCCAGCTTGAAAGAGTTGGATATCACGAATACCTACGAAAAGGAACACATGTACGGACACTACCCTCGGTATTTTGTCACTTAGGGTTGAGGAATACCACTAATTTTTTTTCAAGACTAAAACTCATCTCCTTCCTCTAGTTTCTGACGTTACTTCACGTTCTAGAGTTGCTCATACAGTATCCACATTGTTAATAGGTTTGGAGTTAAGTGACTAAAAAACACAGCACATAAGAGTCACAGATGATACATCGAAATGATGAGACTTCATCGCACTTCGTACAGTTGTATCCAGAGTACTTGTAATCTGTAAGGGCAGTCCATCGACTCGCCCTTTTATGGAATAGATTTTTATTTGATGAAAACACAAGGTGAATGGTTACATGAATACCACGATGTGATTATGAGCAATAAACTGGGCTCAGAATGTCATCAGTAAATAAATAATACTCTATCGTTATATACTTTTATCAAATAAAATTATACTCTGCCATGATCCCGAAGTTCTATTCTTATAGTAAGTGTATTATCCGCACTAGAGTGCTTACTTTCAAATAAATTGAATGGGCTTCCAACTATTATCGACTCCTCTTATTATTGGTATGTAATATTCATGATATGAAGAAAACAAGTAGTGTAGTGTCGTGTGACAAAAATCAAGAAATTCAAGTATTGGTTTGTAGGGATTTGGTTGACTGGTTACAGGATTTCATCATGAGCTGACATTGGTTGGAGAACCATTGGAAAACCTGGGAGTACTGGACAGCTGTTTCGTCCTAGTGTGGGACTCTTCATCAGTAAGCGCCCACCGGGGTTCGAACCCAGGACCTTCTGGTTACAAGGCGAGCTCGTATACCATTAAGCCACTGGGACCCGATCCAATGGTCAAGAAGCTACAATGATACCTAAGAGATAGTATTTATTAAAAAGGATTTACTTCCAAACTGTTAAAATGTAAGTATAAACTAGTATCATATGTGCTTCGTGGAGGATAGGCAGCTAACGTATTGCCAAACACGGTTTGATAATGCAATAAGAAAGCTTCGCGTGCTTATTGAAGGAAGTGTGAGGACAAGTATTACTGCCTAACTGTCCACATCATGGAAGTTGATCACTTCTTCAGGTACCTGAAACAGAAAGATTATTAGTATTGCATGACTGCAAAAGCCCAATGACTCAATGCTTGAGGCTGGTCGCATATTGCCCGAAGTACCCGCGTGTATTAGCTCGTTTACGACAGTGCTATTATTCACTAAATAAACGCAAGATAACTTTGGTGCATATATGCATACTACCTATAGAATAAGTGATTTCATTCATTGGTGTATGATTTTAAATGTGTTTAAATACCCAGATAGCTATGGTTCTACAAAAAGTAAACACACTATCTATGAAAACGTCGTGGCCTCCATTAAATCGTTGTGATGATTAAACAATTTTGATGTGTAAGTCAATAAGTATCTAATTCAAGTTTTATTTAGAAGGACTGCATTCATGGAAACCTGAGTGAGTGTGTCCACCTGATGAGTCCCAAAAGGGGACAATATATGCACCAATGCGTTTAACCAGTCTCATCCGGCGAAATGCTGACAAGATAAACACTCATGTTTTGTTTCTTTTTTTTCCTTCCTTCATTTCTACCATGGACGAAATTGATGTGTATCCTCCGGACATTTAACAACAAATAATCAATAAACTGCTTTCAGTTCCGTCTAGTAACGAAGACAGCAATCAAATTACAATTGTTGTTTGTCGATTATGCTGAGATGAATGCAATGATTTTCGTCAAGTCTGTTGAAGCTTATCATGCTAGTACCCGTGAGTTTATTGATCAGTTTTTGTATTTGTTTGTATTTTGCGTTACTATTATTATTATTATTAATATTGTTATTAATAAGCCTGGTAACGTAAAGTGCACTTGATTATTGATTTCCAAGTTGTATCCATCAGAAAAAGTTTTTTTAAGAGAAACAATAAGGTGAATAATTGAGTAATGTTCGTTAATTTTGTGAAAGTATTCCATTTCTGCTTGCAGATGTAGGTTAATGTTTCACAAAATCAATTGTTTTTGAAATGCGCACAATCCCAGTTGAAGTGTCAGTATAATTTCCTTTAAAAAATCAACTTATTCATAGCATAACAATAATAATAATAATCACTTTATTCCAAACAATAATAATTAAACAGAATGGAATTTTTGGCGTTTTTATACATATTGCAACAATTTAGCTCCTTTTATAAATATGCACATACATAAAATTTAAAATAGTAATAATAATAATAATATAAATAATGAAACCACTATAAACAGAATGTTGGTGGAAACATAATGAAGTATGAATTAGATAGTATCATAGATAATACATGTAATAATAATCTTTCCTTATGTTTTGCAGTTCAGATTACTGATTTAAAAAGTTTATTAGTTCTTTTCTGACATCTGACTCTCTCTTCACACACAACCACCCGTGCTAAATATGGTGGTATTGTAGAGTTTTTATATTTAGTTGTCCGAGCGTAAATTCTTATGAATTTTATTCTGGCTTCACCCGCGTAGATGTACAAGGAGAAAGTTGTAAATAAAGAGAATGTTCAGTATCAGACAAGATAAGTTTAGCTAACTGCTTGCGAGAACTGAAGTGCCTGCTGACAATAATGTCAGTTAGCTGAATCAAAAGCACACAATATGAACCATACTTACAGTCTTCGGTGGTCTACGTAATCTGATATAGTCTTTTTTGCGAAGTCCAGGGAAGAATAAGGGCGCATAATAAAGAAGAATGGGTAGAATACATGAATTAACAAATTGTAAGATAAGAGATTGAGTTATGCCGGAAATTCACAACTTCTTTATGTAATAAGTTAAACGAAAAATTTTCCAGGAAATTAATAGGATATGAGACAACCAACAGAGATTCGAAGAGAAACTGATACCGAGATGAGAGATATTCGATTTACTCTCTACCACAGTGCCGTCAGTATTACAGGAATCATACGACTGAATCAGTCCACGCAAGTCTTGTTAGCATCTGAAACTAAAATCAACAATATGACATTTACAATTAATAGTGTTCTCTGAGCTGGTTGGTTTAGTTGCGAAGCTTTCGTCGTCCTTCTGGACAACATCTTCAGTGCCATATTTAGCACAAAGTGAAAAATATGACATTTAGATGGATTTAATTTAAGACTATTTAGGTGAGACCGTTTGTTAACTTCAGAAAAGGATTTATTCATATAAGAGCGATCTTTGATTTTCTTGATATCCTCTATGATCAGTGTTTTTCCGTATTTTCAATCTGCTCATAGAGCTGTGAATGACTGACTCAAGCACTCCAACAGGCTATAAGCCATACTAAATATATATATGTCTGGGTGGAGTGGTGATAATACTTCCTAGTTCCCAGGACTGAAACAGTTGAAGTGCGGTTCGAACCTACGACCCCCTGGCTGAAAGTTGAGTACTTCAGCCAATGATGAGTCACATCTTCACTGATCAACGACTTGAATTTCAACCAATCGGTCCTGAGTTCACCTGCACCCTCTCTTACTTTATCTTTGACAAATGAATACAGTATTATCGGTTTTCACATGACAAGTGTTACTAATAAACCTGTCAAATAAAGAACATATAAGTCGCCAAAGCGATATTATTTTGTAACTTCTCTTCAGAACTATGTAGTTTTTATAGGGCTTACATATTCAGTGTTAACCGCCGACAGAGGTCAAAGGTTATTATCAGTCGGTAACAAAAATAAATCAGTGTATGAAAAATAACAATGTGTGAAAAGTACGGAGTAATCTTATGTAATCAGAAAAGTCGACAAATAATCAGATGAGGGATGAATACTCATTTGGAAATAATTTGTGGGAAACAAGAGAACAAAGAACAGAAAATCGGTTGCAACCAAAATTTTAAAATTGAAAAGATTACACAGGAAAATGAAAATGATACTTAGGTCATGGTGGTAAAAAAAAGCTGGATAAAACATATTTTTTATTCCTTAACGTTCCCAGCGGAACATAGTGCTTCAAATTAGAGGCCTGAAGTTCCGGTTGCATTGTTGTGTATTTTTACAGGATGGGATTGCTAGCCTCATATGCAACCTTCCGTCTTCACCAGTGTTATTACTGGCTAAGCGAGATAAAGGAGTGCGTCGGCCGGTCATCGAACCATGGACCACATGTGTGGTTGGCGAGCATTCTACCTCTGTGCCTTCAATGCACCATAAACATTTCTGAACATAAATGTTAGTTCTTTTTTTCTCATGGATAGCTAGCGTGTCGAAGATATGAGCGAAATCCTCCTGAACTGCTTAGTTTTAATTCTCTGCTGATACTGAGTGATCAGAAGTAATAATGTGTTCCTCAAGCATTGAGCTGTTAACTGTTCTGTGCTTTCCTTTCGATAACCATGCTGGTAGATGTTCATGACCGCGTCTAGACAGTAGCCTGTTAGTATGGCCGCTAACTGAGCTCTCACGACAGTACCGACAACTCGTGCCAATCTGTAGCAGTGTGTCATGCAGCTTGGATAAGACATCAGCTAAATGGCGGGAATTAACTGATCACTAAGCTCTAAAAAACCTATGTAAGGGTGAATACGCATGAGAAATGAGTTATTTTCATTTTTACCTCAGAAACAAATCGGTTTCAGCAGTTCAGGTAACGTTTGTAAACTTCGGACCACAATGTCATTCGAATGTTTGACAGTTTTCTGATCACTGGAGATTCCGAAGTTCTTCACCTTCGATTTACACCTGTGGCATATTGGCTGCTGGTCGGAATCCTTCAGTGACTTAATCCCCACAAGTATCAGTCTATTCTAACTCAATGAGATCTGAGAAATCACCATTGTGGTTTTCAACATCTGTTACAAGATCATTAAAAAACTACGGAGCGCGGGAAATATGCTTTTACGCCTTGTTTAGGGAGTGTTCAGGAGTGCTCACCAACGACGCTAACAGGGATCGAACTCAGGACCTTCGGGTCACGAGGTCAGCACGTTGACCTTTCAGCCACTGGGTTAGGATTCAATGACGTCCGTCAATACGTGATATAGTCTCTGCTTGATGTGCCAACTACTCTCAAAGATACCAACCTGTGGCTTTGGTTACACAATAAACACCAGTTGGCAATAGTAGGTGGCAACTTTCGTGAATAATTCTTCTAAAGACTGATTAGTTTAGTTGTGTGTTCCAACAGTGGGAATAATCTCACATGACTTCCTGAATGTTAAAAAAATTGTGGAGTCAGATCTTATCACAGTTAACTAAAACTCGTCGGTGGCTTTTTAGTTCAGTGAACTAGTTTGCAGTGACTAAGACACTGGAATGATTAGTTATGTTAATTATTTTATTGTTGATGGAAACTCAGTGGATTTACAAAAGTCTTATTTGCCTATGCTTTAGACGTGATATTGAAGTGTGCCCACATCGACTAGTGCACGTTTGAGCAAAGTGTTGCAATGTCTCACTGTTTTATCGACTAGTTAATAGAATGGATAACGTTTCGTCGTTTGAATCGATAAGTGGTGGTGTTAATGCTTTTGTAGAGAAACCAGTACTGCCGACATACGACATACAGTCTTATTCACCTGGAAAATTTTAAATAGGAGGAAGCTTTGGCTGGCTGATTCGTGTTTCTATTCATAGTCTCTGTCAATGACTGACACACTGAGTTTTCATTACGGAACTATGCACAAAAGCTCATATGTTCAAGTTGCTATACTCATAAATGTAGAAATAAAACTGCAAAGGAACTATAATGAAGGGAGGGAAATTTACTAGAGAAAGAATCGGCACATAAAGAATAATGGGCATTTAATACATTTAAGAGATTACAAAGAGAGAACTCATTTACAGCATTGATAACAACTGTCAGCCTTGTGACTAACAGTCTCCAACCATTGGTTCCAAGCATCTCTAGGACCCTAGCCAGCCAGCCAGCTAGTCTATTCCAACAGTCAAAGACTTTATGAATTGATGCCAGGTTTGGATTTGATCATCCTTAAGTCTTTTCCAACTGGATTTCATGTCTCCCCTTCCATAATGCTCTATGCTCAACGTTAGTATTACCCACACTATATTATACTACTTAACACGGGAGATAAAATGGAAACATTTGTGGTCAAAGATAGCTCGCCTCTTCAAGTCTTATGCATTCAACAGCCACGTCTCACAGTAATGCGTAATTTTACATGTGGTTAGCTCATTTACAGGGTGCACTTTTCTTTTTTTTAAAATCTAATAGCACACACACACACACACAAGAAAATGTTAACACGCTGCGACAGATGTTGCGTAACACATGTGTTGGATTTAAAATAGTCCTGTCAGATACTTATACCTTTTGTTATTGAAGTGTACGAGGCACGTCATATGTTCAACTAGGTCTGGACGCCAAATGCTTAGACTATTGTATCTATTTTTTCGGTATTTTAAATATTGATTCCATGACAAATTGCCATTCAACTAGAAAAAATAATATAAAATAACAGGAAATCAACATCTGGAGTATTCGTAGTTTATTTTGTTTGTTTCTTATTTTTTCAAAATAATTTCTGGTTAATTCTCTTACAAAAACACACTTTAACGTCTACAGGCACCTGCATACATACACACAAAATTAGGGGCAGCACAGTTAATCATCACTTTCACTGTATACCAAAAAATACACAAAAAACCAAACAGCGAAAATGGATGAACGTTTCAGTAATTAATAAACTTTTCCGTTATATTACTTGTCATCATGAGTTTTCTAAGTAGGTAAGTAAGTGAGTACCATGTGTTTTTAGTTAAGCTTGTGTAATAGTCATTTGG